CTCCAGGCTTCCACTACCAAGGCAACTCAATTACCACACTTAACAAAACTTGCTGGCTTTGTGGGGTGTTTTTTTGAGGTTGTCTCATAGTGTAATTTGACTGTGCAGCAGTGTTAGCCTGCATGTAGCAATATCAGTGACCTCTTAAATGAGAAGACTGTTCACTGATTACACTACGAAGGGGAAAGCTTGTAATGCTCAACATAACATCCCTTTATGGAGAAAGTTCCACCCTTCAATAAAAAGAGCCAATCAGCTTGCTGGTTACACAGCGAGTGGGGAAAGGTTGTGGAGATCTGCATGAGCGCAGTAGCCAGGATAACCAGACAAATCGCATTTTTGTGCATTTCTGAGTCAAATGCTACAAACTATTTATGAAGTTTTTGTCAGATTTTGCTGGTGATTTTAAGTTTTTGAAACATTAATTTGGGCTTCAGTTTTGAATTTTTTAATCTCTCCTCGCTCAAAGAGAGAGGACCCTGGTCTCGTATGGCTGAAAATAACTGCCCAGCAGTGTTGCTAAGATGGCCGAACCGACCTTCCTATAAGGATTTTAGCAATATTCATATTTCAACTCTTTACTGACTTCGTAATTCTGAGGATTCATTGATATTCAGGTGAAACTGTCTCACACAACTTTAGAGATCTATAGCAATAAAAATGTGTTAAATGACTGTCCTTTCTTGCTTGATAAAACCTGCTGTCATGTATGTTTTCCTTTATCAGATCCTTCCCTAGTTTACTGATAAGGGTGACGAAAAATGCACAGGATATACAGATAAATTATATTGAACAATTTGTTAAACTTCTACTGACTTATGATCATCACCACAGTCAGCAATGAAGTAAGGACTCACATGATGCCTTTTAATGCACCATAGGCCATACTTCTGAAAAAGTACACGAGGAAGTTCTGGAGGGCTTTAGCTGTTGTGATTTGCTTTGCTGTTTTGCTGCAGATGTCCATAATGACAGTCTTGTCAAATGACACTAAATGATATGGAATTGCATTATTTTCCCTGTCAGGAACATTTAGTTTGTAGTTTTCCCAATATTTCATGCATCAAAAAATTTGACCACTAAAAAAATAGATTTTCCTAAAATATTACTAATAATTGCTGTTTCACTTACATTGTCAAACATTTCAAAGTGGTAAAACATCTTTCCCAAAATCCCTTTGATGGAAATCTGCCTAAAGAGAAAGATGGCTGGTTAAAGTCATTGGGCCTCATTCACCAACTATTCTTAAGATGAAATTTCTTATTAAATCACACTTATGCAGTTTTCACAAAGATTCTGACATTACCAGTGTTTTCTTATTTGGGATTTAATCTTAGGTAAGAACAGAATCTACACACACTCAAGAGCACAAATGAGCACAAGAACAAACAATTCTGTGGTTTAAGAACATGTCATGAATCTGATGTAGACTTTTTCTTAGGAACTTTCTCAAGAACACATTTAAGAAAAAACTTAGGAAGATATTAGTGAATGAACCCCAATCTTACCAAGATTCTGACCTGTCAGTTGCTGGATCAAGCTTAGTGCTCTGATGATTGTGGCCTTTTGAAGATTATAGACTGTAGGAGAGCAACTTGGATGTTTGTGATTGCATCAAAATGGTGGAAGAGGAATAGTTTCACCAACCCAAACACTCACCAGACTGCCTCAGTTAGTTCTACTGACATTCTTCTACAGCTAGATCCTGTCCTACCACAAGATTGAACAATACAAGATTCTGGGTTAGTGGTTCCCAACCCTGGTCCCAGGGTACACATTTAATTGTTTTCACCACTTTAAAACACCAAAATTAACTCAAGGGTCTTCTGGGGGGTCAGCTTCTGACTAAGATGTGCCAGTCTTTTGGATGGCCCTCTTATCTCTTTGTTAACTGAAGCTTCAATTCAGATGAAGCTGTTTGGATTGGACGTCAGACAAATAGTCTGGGGTACAGTACCAATCAGAAGTTTGGATACACCTACTCATGAAAATGTTTACATTTTCGTTAAAACTATTAAATAGTTGCTGTTGGGACAAAACCTTGTACCTTTTTTGGAAACAAGACCAACAGAAATGGACCAAAATTATGTGGAAAAAAATACATTTTACTTTGCCTCTTACTATATGATTAGAATGTTTGTTCTAGATATTTTTTTTTCCGACAGTGATGATATGTGGAATTATGCAAGGACTCAGTGTTGAACAAATCAAAATATTTTTTATATTTTAGATTCTTTAAAGTAGTCGCCCCCATGCTTTGATGTAGCTTTTCACACTCTGGACTTTCTCTCCATCAGCTTTAAGAGGTCTTGCAAAAATGTTTTGCAACAGGTTGGAAGAAGTTCCACTTTTCTGTTTTGGAAATAAACTGATACATAGACATCATCTAATAAAGTCTTTAGATTAAAATGTCTAAGATTATGAAAATCACACACTGAATCCGATATCTACAGACTTTGGCTGGTATACCATGACAATTTGCTTAGAATTCTTTCGATACTCAATAACAGACCTCTGAAGTGGTAGTTAGCCAGCGTAAAAATGGCGAGGGTTAAAGGCTTGAGGGTCTCGTCTGAATTCCCACACCTACACAGATGATTTCATCATAACTGTCATTCATGCATTTCATCAGATTCTTTCAGAAGTTCTGCTTTTGTAGTTGCACATCAGCGTGATGCAATTCAGGGACTCGCTTGCTGGTGCCCATTATTTCATATTTTTCTAGGCTTCACTCTTCAGAAACCTTTTCTTTTAATCTCATGCAGGAGTAACTGAGCTTCTGACGAGCTGAACAGTGAATGTTTCAGGAACAATGACCAACCTGCTTTATTCATTTCATATAATCTGTGTACAGTGATCCTTACTTACACTAGCCCATATTTGCGCCACTGTTTGTCCTACTATCTCAATGTATTTATCAGTAAATTTTATGGTGTAAGAAAGTGAGGATGGATACCAGTTGTGTTTTTAATATGTGCAAGAACTTTTTGTTTGTTTTCTGTTACCTGTTAACTGCATCAACATCAATGAAGAAGCTGTATTTTGTCCCCCTGACATACTTGAGTATGAGTGGAATGATTAGGGTTGTTTCCTGCTACAATTCACAGAGATCTTTTCTTGCAAAATTGCAACAGTTGTTAAAGAACTCCATTTCTGTTCCTGACTAAACATGGCTAAAAACTACATAACCCAGCAGCCCACATTCTGAACTGTACCACATCATTTGTGGTGACAAAAATGTAACATGTTCAGTCTCATAGCTTATGGTCAAACATGGAGAAACTTGCTCATCCAACATTTCTTCTGAAATCAATGGTATTAATAGGGAGGGTTTTCCACCTTTGCTGCAGTAACAGCCTCTGCTCTTCTGGGAAGGCTTTACACTAGATGTTGAAACATTGCTGTGAGGATTTGATTATATTCAGCCACAAAGCATTGGTGAGGTCAGGCACTGATGTTGGATGATTAGTTCTGAATCACAATCTCCACTTTAACTCATCCCAAAGATACTGGATGGAGCTCCATCATCCATGCAGTCCCACTGCTCCACAGCCCAGTGGTGGAGGGGTTTATACCTTATAGTCGACGCTATTAGTCATGGAGATGTTAGGCTCATGTGCGCTCAATTTTATTGACAGTGCTTTTCTATAGAGATTATACAAGCTGTGTTTCTGCAAACTGATTGCCTGTGTCAGCAATGGCGACCTTAAAGCAGCTGAACTCGCTGATAAGAAGGGGTGTCTGGATTCTTTTGGACATATTGTGTATCACTGATGGCTTTCCCTCCAAAAAATAAGAAATCAGAGATATGCTACTTTAACACACTTTATCGTTTTGTATTTATTTTTTAATTATTTATTTTATACATATGGACCTTTCTACTGAATTAGTTCAAACAGAGGCCCCACAGTGAGAAAAAAAAAAAATATATATCTATTAAAAATAAAAAAATATATTATGATCTATTTAAGCCCAATTTTTAATTGAACAGTAATAGTAAGCTAAATCATACACAGGGTGCTTTCCATTAGGAGGTGTCTATCCCAAACACTAACCCCTAATTTTCCATAAATTATCCATAAATTTTTTCTTTTAAAGTGAAGTTGAAAGATTTAGATTTATAATGAGTTTAATTTTTAAATACAAAAAATGCTGTCCTACATTTTTTTTGTCACTGGTGAAGCCTGTAATTCAGAGCAGGAAGTGAGACTGCATCCCTGTCCCTCATGGCCACATGGAGTTAGATACCATTGTTTTGAAGTAAATGTGTCCCAAAACCTGAAAATCAGTGTGTAACACTAAGAATTGTCTCTACTGAAACACATATTTTCTGCAATTGAGAAAACCTCATGTGTTTTATTGAAAAATATTATGATGATATTTGTGTACAAGTGTTCAACGCTGTGCTTGACAGTGATGTACTGGCTGGTGTGTTATGCTCAAAATTATCCAAAAAAAAAAAAAAGTCACCGCCGAAATATTTGGTAAAGTTTCAGAAGTGATATGGTTGTTTGTTAGTGATGAAATAAAATTTTCAATCCTTTATCTTAATAAAATGAACATAATTAAGACACAGGGTCATTCAGAGCAAAAGGAATATAATCTAAAGTCCAAGTCAGTTAAATGTCCAAACTGTGTTTTCAACCCCCTTCGATTATGAACCAATTCGGTAGAACAATACATATTTAGGCCATTTAGCTTAAAGATTTAATATCTTCTGTATAAAGTTAATTTTCTAGTTATTCTTAATATTAACAGTTGTTTAAATTTGTTTATCTTAGCCTTTATTAAACTTGTTTTCCTACTCAAAATTAATAAAGTTTTTTTTCTTTACGTACATAATCATACAATTGATGTGAGTGGGGTTCCTCAAGTATATCACTTAGGATCCCTAAATGTTTGGAAACAGCCCTAAGAATTACATTAAAGTTCAGTATTGCTGAATAATTAAAAACTAGTCCCTCTTCTCCCTCTCTCTGTCTCCCTCTCTGTCTCTGTAGGCCAGTGAAGCCGCAGTCCAGCTGCTCTCTGCAGGCTCGTGTTCAGGAATTTATCAGCAGTGGGGAGACCAGGGCTGATAACTCCACAGCACCTCTCTGTCTGCCTGAACTCAAACTGCAGCCCACCAACACACTGCCTCCAGAGAGAGAGGAGAACAGGGAGAGAGAGACATACAGAGACAGGGGGAGGGAGGGTCAAAGGTCAATGTGGGAAACAGAGAGAGACAGGCCTAGAGACAGTCAGAAAGGAAAAGAACTGATGGTGACGGAAGAGAAAGACAAGGAAAAAGCAGAAGAAACCGATGGAACCACATCCCTTTCTTCTCCTCCTTCCCCCCTTTTGGATTCCCTGGCACCTGATGGTCGGTTAAGGACGGTTCATGTGTTGCCCAACTTCGCCCAGGCCCTGGCGGAGGCTCGCAAAGCCAGATACATACGTCACCGCGGCCGGCCACCATGTGAAAAAGAGCTGAGCATCAGAGAGATATTCTCCAAAAAACTCTAGAGACACATACACTAAGCAATGACTGTAACACACACTCACATGCCTGTCTCCGCTGAGCAGACGCTTCACACACATAAACACAGCTACACTTTCACTCATCTCATACATGAAGCGCTAATCAATGCACTGTTACTATACCTTTAAAATGTACCCTATAATAGACTAGTTTACACAAATTCTTTGTGTTTTAAGCAATAAATCCTCTAAGAATGCAACTTTGCCACAGTTCCTCTCACTATGCTATATATACAATATATAGAACTACAGCTGATACACTAAACGAAATTCTACCCATTTTTGAAAGCTTCTGTGTAATTAAATTGTGGTGATATAAAAATACAAAGTCATTCAGAGTAATTTAAAGTTTTTTTTATTGGGTACTTTTTTGCCTTAAAGTGCCTTGCATGTACCTCTCTGCCTTGCATGTATTTTAAAAAAAGCATTTTAGACCAAAACAAATCACAAAACAAACATAAGACAATATCTCAGGCGCTGGGCAACGTATCTGTCTATATTTAATGTAGTAACCTTCTGTAAGGTAGATTTTAAAGGCGGAAAATGTTTCAGACATCTGGTTCCTATCATCACCACTGTGAACAATTCTGACTTAGTACGTTTCTCTAGAACAGAACATGTCATATCAAACCACTCCTGAATGACCTTACATCTTTACAATTAAGTAATATTAAATTTGATTACTTAGAATTTTTTTGCACTACATATGACTGCTTTTAAGTGTGCATATAATGAATGTTCTGTGACTGAATTCATTATAATAGGCTAGTTTGTTAGACTAATGTCAAAGTCCACCTGAAAACTTTCCTGGCCTCCCAGACAGCGAGCATATATCTGTTTACCACTTCCGGCCAACCTTCTGAACACCCAGATTACTGTCCTCCATACAAGGCCTAACTAGTTTTTAATCACTTCAAACAGATTTAAAATGCACAGAGCCTTTTATTTCAGAGAATACACTAAGACAAACATTACAAACACCTCAGAGAGGAAAAAAACAATGACTAGGCCTGATATACAATGATTTTATACAAAACGTTGTTGCTGACACTGTACAGGATTAAAATTATTTACTAAACTAATTTAAAAGGACAACTAAAGAAAGAAAGGAAGAAAGGAAGGAAAAAGAAGTCAGTTGGACTGTAAGTGAAAAATGAGTGATGATAAGTGGAATTTTGTCTAATACTCTGTTTAAACACCAGTGGGCCAACCAGAAAACGCCAGCTTTGCCATCAGTGGGCCAACAGTGGCCCTCTATCCTCTTGCTATCAGGGCTTCTGTATGTGAAAAGTGCTATAGAGACTGAACTTACAGTAATAACAACCTAATAATAATTATAATGATAATAATAATAATTCTTATTATTATTAATGTAATGTGATGACTATACCTGTAGCCTACTGATTTTTATTTTTATTTTTTATTTTGAACTATGTTGGTATTGAATTGCTGTAAGCTGTTTCTTTGTTTACGAAAAGCCACACTACTGTTGGGACACTGAGCGCTTCTAGGTTCTGGAGCACTGTGACTGTGCAGCTCCTCAGTCCTGTACTCTCTATAACAGTATCGCCCTCTGGTGATCGGCCTCCGCTCACATAGTGCCGTGAAACGCTTTTCTTGGTTCTGGAAGTTCAGAAATGCGGCACATAAAGTACTGAAATAAGCTGTTATTCCAGAAAATGAAGAAAATCTAATGCACAGTGAGCGTCGTGTATCTGAGAAAAGCTGCTTAGTCAATGTTGACGTGGAAGGTTTCCATGGCGACGCTGTTGAGGAAGTACAAGGAAACTGAAACGGTCTGGTCGCAGAGGCGCGCGCGCACACGGAGTTCAGCTGAGGCTCTGTGGTAAACTCGGAATGTTCGCTGTGAAAAACCTCCACAAAGTTACTCAAAACCTCCTCCGTTCATGACTCTGCCCTTCCTCTCGCACTGCTGACAGACCGTAAAGCCACACCAAACTGTCCTGACCATGACCGTCCTGCCGAGGCTGGCTGGTGGAGTGTGTTCATTTGTCCGCAGTCCTGCTCAGGCGGGTTTGGGCTTCAGCGGCCTTCATGGCTCCGTCCCTCTCACCGCCGGAGGCTTCGGCTTCGGAAAGCCCTCCGTGCGGGTTCAGCTGACGCGGAGGCGGGCACTGTGCACTGACAGGCCGCACAAAGAGGACAAAGACGCTGTCGAAGTGGACATAAGTCGCCTTGAAGGTGAAGACAATGGTAGGTGCACCATTCATACAGTGTTTACACTGTTTACACCTGTCCTCAGATACTGAACCTAAAAACCTGCGGAACCTGGGGGTCCGAGATCACCTTTTAAAGCCGTGTAAATAATCTCAAATGGTTCCGGTTAGTCTAGATTAGGATTCTTCAGTTCCAGTCCTGGAGGGCCGGTTTTCAGCACAGTACAGTGCTTTCTCACCTGATCCAACTCATCCGTTATTTGTCAGGTTTAATAGATACTGTGGCTCCACCAGTGGACTTGCTAATGTTTGGGCCAGTTAGGAGAGCGGAGAGGAGCACAGCGCTGATGCTAGCTTCTTTTTAGCTTCTAGTCTGGTAACGTGGCCTTCCATCTTTTGTCTTCGGTGTGAGAAACGAATAACACCAGTCTCTTGTGAAATTAGTTCAGTGACCCTTGCCCTGAGCAGTGGGCAGCCCTATCCACAGCACCAGGAGAGCAGTTGGTGGTTAGGTGCCTTGCTCAAGGGCACTTCAGTCATGCACTGTGGGCTCAGGGGATCAAGCCGGTGACCTTCTGGTCACAAGGCTGGTTCCCTAACCTCCAGCCCACGACTGCCCCCCCAGAAATCAGCAGGTTTTCAGATTTACAAATATGCTATGGCATATTGTAATGTTTTTCAGAGGTAAACCGGGCGTAGTTACAGTTGCTAAGCTGTGAAGGACCAACTGAGGCTTGATTCACACATGCTGCATCTGCATGGTGTGAGTGACGTGGAAAGTCATGCTTTTCATTTCGGCAGCCGTGTTAGTGCTTTCACACAGTCTGCGCGTGCGAAACAGCAGAGCGTCCCAGACGCCGCACTGACTTCTGGCTCTTTTCCACCGAAGTTGGGTTCTATATTTGTTATCATTCAATAAAAAGCACGTTCCTGTAGAAGAAAATGTCAGACTGCAGGTCTTCTTCTGTGTTAATGATGAATATGTTTGAACAGAGTAGTCACCAAAGTGTGCTGGACACTGGCCTTCTAGGACTGGAACTGTGGGACCCTGGGATAGGCCATTGAATTAGAATTTGCACACCTATGTAGTGCCATAGTGCTGTAAGTCCAATAAAGAACCATTTGGAGTTCAGCCATAGTCTGCCTGTCGGCCCCCTGGGGAATATTGGTGAGGCTTCAGTTTCACCATCTGTAACAGTAAATTTTTAGGCAGAGACTTCTGACAAGACTGTGCCATTGATGACCCCAAAGACAATTGACCAGCTAATCATATGATCATGTGTATCACTTAAAATTTTTATTTTTAATTTACACTGTAAGAAAAGGTCACCTGTTCAACCTAAAATAAATGACTTCAAGTGGTAACAAAGCAATTAGCAACAACTAGAACTGGTTTTATTTAACTCAAAAAATTTGATTGAAACAATTGTTCATTGAAAGTATTTATTTTGGTTCTATAAAACTAGTTTATTTACTTGTTACCATGGGAAGTAGTTTTTAAGGTAGAACTGATAAATAATGTTTTACAGTGTAGTGGTACTGCTAATGCATACTGATCCCACACGAACATTAAAAATGTGGAAAGTGCTGATATTCAGTATTCAAGTGCGGAACAGTAAAATAGTTAAATGTAAGTTACAGAGCTTCCTGCGTTCTGTCCTGTATCAGGTCTCAGCATGAGATGGAAATAATGCCATATTGTTAGAGAATGTTGTGCTGCTGCGTGAGCTGCTGAATTTCGCTGTCTTGTTCTGTGCCTTTTTACAGCCTATGGGATGTGAGTTTTTTAATTGTATGCATAAATAAACAAACACATTATCTAAACAATCCACCAAAGTAATAATAATAAAAAAATTGAAATTATTTGGGGAAACTAGAAAAGTGCTGATGCAGGTGACATGGGTTGATGTGTGACTGTTTACTGATACCTGTCTTCTGGACCTGCATAATGAACATTTCCCAGTTTCCTGAAATTCAGAGGACTAGACTGGAGTGCTGCTTTAGTGCAGTAGTGCAGTAGTAATGTGTACTGTGCCATTTGCGTATGTGTGGGGTCACAGCTGCAGTTGGATAAGAAGTCTGGCTCCTACCCTCAGAGATATTGAATAATTAACAAAGGTGTAAACACTGACCTGTTTCTCAACCCCACATGGCAGAATAAAGTTTAAATGTACTGACTAGGTGAAAAGTCACTGTTTTGAGTTCTAAGCACATACAGGGCCGCTACAATTACCCAACTGAACTTGATTATTCTTGTCTGTCTCTCTCTGTCTCTCTCTCTCTCTCTCGCTCTCGCTACCTTGCTATCTTGTCTGTCTCTCTCTGTCTCTCTCGTTTAGGTATAGTGGAAGTACTGATGTGTCGGCAGCGGGCACGGAACTCCCTGGGCCGTGTGTTTGTGGGTCAGGTGAGGTGACACCTGTGCGTATCCGTGGAAACAGCCTGTTGTTCCACATCACTCTCTGCTGTTCACATAACGCAAAAAACTTAGCAGGCAACCTCAACCCATCAATACTCCCTCTCTTCTGTTTCTCTCTCGTTAAGTTTCTTTTTGCGTGCTCTCTTTAGGGCTCTTTTTATCTGTAAAAGTCAGGCTGTGTCTGGAGGAATGAAGAATTCGTCTCAGGTTGACAGAACAACTAAATCAATAAATGGAATATAAAGAAAATAAAAATAGTCAAGATTTATTGCGTTTCTTTGCTCTTGTCTCTGAGTCTGCCCATCTCCCATGCCTCAATTTTTCTGGTTCCATCAATATTTCTCCCACTCTCTTTCTCACTCTCTCTGTAGATGCGAGAGCTGGTGTCAGGCTTGCGGCATGACTCAGCTGCCCGTGTGGTGATCTTTAGGAGTCTGGTGCCCAGAGTGTTTTGTGCAGGTCAGCTTTCATCTATACAGAAAACACAAATATACTCTTTGCCTTAGAAGAACCACTTTTGGTTCCCAAAGAACGTTTCTGTTCCATTTTTGTAAATGAGATGTATGAGTGTGAAGAAACTTTTTAAAGTTTAATGAACCTCCACATATTGCAGAATCTAATCCAAGAGCCATTTAGGAACCT